CTAATCTTTTTCTTTTATGAACTTCTGTGAGTTCCTGAACTGGTAATATTTTGTATGGTTTATAGTTATATTTTTTTAAAGTTCTATGTATTGTAGAAACGCTTTTGTTTAACACCTCAGCAGCATGTTTTAAACTGTTTTCTGAATTTTCAACAACAAAATTTTCAATTATTTATATATATTTGTATGTATTTTATTAAAAAAATTTATTCATACCTTCAAAATAAAGCAAAGTGTCAATATCTACTTCATCATTTCCTATAACAGTACGTTTTTTCCGTTCGAACGTTCGATTATTTCTTACATTGCGAAAAATATTTACAAATGTGTTTGCAGAAGGAGTCTGCTGATTCGGATAAATATCCATATATTCCCTTCTTGCAGCATATTTATTTTTATTATTTTTCACGAAAATTGAAAATATCTCAATTGTTTGGGCCACGCTATAACCCATTACACGTAATCAACTGACAACTTTTAATAAACAAACACCTGTTTCACTTGGAAACGTCATTTTCATAGCCATCTATGTGTTACGTTTTTATAGTGCATTAAGTCACTAAGTAATTTAAATAGCCTTATATAATATTATACATTTGTAATCAGGAAATACAGGGCTACTCAAAATTATAAAAATAAATAGGGTTTCCCATAAAAAAAAAATGAAATAATGTTTTGTTGGGGGCGCCCTGTAGATATAATTCTGCAAGTTATTAAATTTTTAGTCGGTTCAGATAAAACAGTAAAGCTTTTACTCAAAACTTTTTTTTGTGTTCGCAATAATAATAAAAATAAGTGGTGGTCAAAATATAATGAAAACCCCTGTACTTTTTTTTATAATTTAAACCTATTTGTTGTATATAAATTGAAAATATTAACTAGCAACGTCAGCTCAGGCTAACGTTAGGACATGTGTGCACGTGAGGATCCAAACGGTCTACCAGAATTCAATTACTGCTACTTCTGAAATTTTAAAATTGGTAGATACCCAGGTACCTTAGAAAAATGCGATACACACCTTTTAAGGTATTTCAAAAATTGTATTTTATGGACATTTCGTAAGCATTTAAATTCATTTTTTAAAAATTTTTCATGTTTGGGATGTTGGATCATTATTAGTTAATACTACTAGATCGAATGTCTATTATATAAATACTTATTATTGCTTATAAAGATTGTCCCAGGAAAACCCATATTACTCTCTGCCATTAAAATAACTATTGTTAAATATTTATAAATCTCAAAAAAAATTAACACTTATTGGAGCTTTATGATTTTCACCTAAAATACCTAAGTTTATTGATATAGGGACAGTATTGCTATTTATTAAACGGTAACAGATAGAAAATTGGTTAAATTAGGAAAAAGTTGTGATCATTAAAATGGTTCCCGGAAACCTTTGATAACTACAGGGAGATTCAAAATATCAGACAAAAAATTAATGAATTTAAAGAAATGACAATTTTACTTTTTTGTACAATATTTTGAATCTCCCTTCAGATATCAAAGGTTTCTTGGCGCCATTTTATAGAGCACAAAACTGCGCAACTTTCTATTTATTACGTTTAAGAAATAGCAATAATATCCCTATGAAATAGTAGTGACCCTGTATAAAAAAAATTAACCTGCAGCGTGAAATTATAACAGTATTTTTTTTATAATAGTATTCCATTCACTGGAAAAATTTCAACGAATCAATATTAAATAATTTTTAATGAAAGAGCTAAAAATCAACATCCTCCCTTCATCTCAAATAGATAGAACAGACACAATACAGAACAAAACCAAATAGCCAATAACAGTTGCAAATCTGTTTTATTGGTTGCCTACGTTGCCTACAAAATCAATTAAAGTACTCCTACTTTCATCAACTATGTTCTCACAGGACTTAGATTAGATGTGGAGAATACCACAAAACCGGTAGTGATCAACAAAAAATATATCTAAAGTAGGACTTCAAAAAATTTACCAAAGTCAATTCTTCTTCTTTTAAGTGTCAGTATTTATTTAATCCAGAGCTGTGCGTAGTTATCACAGCCATGACGACGTATCTCTACCTTTGTGCGGTCATGGTTTCCTTTAAAAACATTTGTTGATGAAAATATTAGACAATAAAGTAAAAACATTTTTTTAATTTTTTATTATTTTGGTCATAATTAATTGCTCATATATAGACAAATTGTAGTATTTTTTAATAAGTCCGATTGAGTTTTTGGTAAAGTCTAGTAAAATAATATAACTTTCTATACTTATAAAATGACTGTTTCGGCAACGACTAAAGTGAACCCAATCCATTATAATTATATAAATCAGAAAATTGGTAAATTTTCTACAGATATTATACATGTTTATATTTTTCTGGTTTTATATTTAAATTCGAAGAATGAAATTTTCAATAGTATCTTAGGGTGTCTTAATTATTTTTATTGTAATCAATTAATTGTAACATTTATTATAAGTAAATATTATATAAGGTGAGAAACCCCAGATGAACTTCATGGTTCGGCGGAGCTGTTTATAAGCAATGTATTCTCTTTTGACTTTATTTTCCAAGTGTGAGTTCCACGTTAACTTGCTGTCAAAGATGAGACCTAGGTACTTCAAATCCGTTGCAAATGTTACTTTTGTGTTTAGGAGTTCTGGAGGCTTTATATCGCATGACTCATACTTTAAATTACTTTCGAAAAAAATTACCTTAAATATTTTGGTTAACATTTTTTTAGAGAAAAATGCCATTTTGCTGTAATTATGAATTATCATGTTTATTTTCCACAAGATTATTATAATGTATTAAACATGTACCCAATATTTAATATTTTAAGCATTGACAATTTTGAAATTACTAAGGCCCTTCTTATGGGCAGACGAAACAATTTTCTAACCCCCATTTTTTAAAACCTTTTTTCATGTTTCCGATCATTCTGAATCCGAAATTAAAAAAAAAATGTTTTGTCTGATCGTCTGTGTGTATGCCGGCACAATAACTCTAGAACGAAAGTTCTGATTGACTTACGGTTTTTTATTTCCTTGAATAATTACTTCTAATTTAGAACACTATTGATTTTCAGAATTTTCGGTTCATCCTAACTATTTAAATATCAATTTTCTTAAAATCCGCCTAATGTATTTCTTATGTAACAATTTTAGGAATTCCAATTATTTCTAAGGTCAACATTCCTAACATTCATATCATTCCATAAATTGCAAACATTCTTTAACGACCTGTCAAACAACAGCTGTTGATAGTAAAGGTGAAATTTCTAAGGCGGGTTGCGACCTTCATACTTGCGACCATAGCCATTTTTGAGGCTATTTTTATTCGAAATTAGTCGCTAAGCCTGATAATTTATGAAAAATGTATAAGCAGTTTCTTAAAAATGAATTTTTTATGGTGGTGCTAACTTAAGCTTACTACTATTTCGCCCTTAGCCACAAAAATACCTTCATCAAATTTAGTGGCTTTCTGTCGCAACCCCATAGAATAATTAACCGGTCATTTTATTTTAACAAAAATCAGAATAATGCTTGGCAGTATCTGTCAAGTATCAAGATGTCAACTGTGATGTGTGAATGGCTCTAAAATATCAAATTATTTCAAAATGTATGCTTCTTTTGATATTTATTGCAAATAATTTGTAGTGTATCTTAATTCAGGCTTTCCATAAATAAAGGTACATCAAGACAGATAATATAATGTTCTTATACAAAGAATTTTTTTATTATATAAAAGAGAGGTAGGATATAATGCTGGTTTTTGATAGATAATTTGAATTATACGATTTTGGATTACATATTCAACCAGCGAATTGTAAATAATAATTAGTAAACTAGTAGTCATAAATTTCCTCAATTCATAAAATTTAAAAATGAATCTTCCTACCTTGGGATTTTAATGACTTAATGTGATCAACCCATTTCAAATTTTAATCAATTATGATACCGAGGTATTTTGTTGTTTTTCATTTTAATTATAAAGTTGTCATTTATTTATATGTTGAAAGAAGGCCTTTGGAAATTACATTGCTTTCTATGGATCCACTTTAACACAAAAATAGTTTTGTGGCTATAAGTTGCTATAACCTAATTGTCTCAAAACTATTAATAATTTAAACATAGTAAGTAGTAATACGAGGAAAAGCGAGTGGTAAAATGACAATAAATTAAGGGAAATACTTAAAAAGGGCAGGTTTAAAGAGTATTATCACAAGAAAGTATATTCGTTCTGTTTATTTATCAAGTATTGTTTGAGGTTACTTTTGAATACATTTATTGTTATTTTAATCTCTGTAGGCAGTCTATTAAATTTTTTAAACCCTTAATAAAAATTGTATTTTGGAAACTTTTAGTGATGGCTTGCCATACATGAAAGTCAGATTGGCTTCTTGTATTATAGTTAAGATATTGCGAATAATTTTGAATTTTTAATAAATATCAGTCATGTACTAAACATAATTCTGAACTGAAAGCCAATTTTTTTTAACATAGTTGCAATACTCATCCTTCTCTCCTTTATTAATAAAATATAAATAGGCGAAGTAAGAAGCAAATGTTTTACATGAGCAGGCTTAGGAGGTAGAGGGGCTAATTATTATTAGATAAATTGCTCGAACAAGTTTATGAACCCTAATCAAAAGGCAAAACAAACTGGTTTTAAAAATCAAGGCTTATGGAAATCATCACATGGTTTAATCTAAGTAATGCCAATGCTTCACAAAACAAAAAATTGAACGTCCTAATACTACTATCGGCTTTCGGTCTTTTGTTTCAAATTAAATCATTTCTGGTTTTTGTTACGCTACGAGTTTATCCTTATGGGCCTCAGTCTCGATAAAGTGGGAACCATCATTTTAGGGTCTCTTGAATTGAATATTTTTAAAAATTTTCAGTTGATGCAATAATTTTTGTGCCATGAGTATTTTGCAAAAATTTAAATTGTCTTTTTTGTAGTACATACCAATTTATTTTTAATTAATTTTTAATAATAATTATTTATTACTTACTTATCGTTAACAAATCCCATATAAGCGTCTACGGAGAAGTCACATTCCTTCTCGGGGCCCCTCCAAAGGGTACATCTAGAAGCTGGAAAAGACCGTTCGCTTTTTACAGATTCAGAATAAAGTTGCCAAGCTCTTATATGACTGCACGCCACTAAAAATAAACAGAATTTAAAGTAGTAGAGAATTAAAATTATATAACTTACAAAAAAAACAGCCGATTTAATTTTATAATAATTTGATACCATTCATATCTACATCAACTGTTCAATAAAAAAATTAAATTCAGGGTGTGGAATATACTCTAAATCCTTAAACCTATAACATAATTTGTAAAAAAATGCCAGATACAATACAGAGATTGGAAAAAGAGAACTAGATTTAGAATAGTGACAATGTTCTTTAATTTTCTTCTAATCGCCATAATTTTTCTATTATTTACGAGAAATATTATTCTTAACTTTGTAGCTTTAATTCACTTTCAAGTTTTGTTATTTTCAAATCAAAATTGTAGGCTACCATATTTAATTTTATTTAATATTAATTATTCGTTAGTCGAGATATACGTACATTAAATGCTGATTTTGAATTAGCTAATAGGTATACACACAAAACAATATTTATACAACTAGCAACCGCTCGATTTAAGTTTTACCGCACACATTCTAGCAATGTATATTGAATTTATGAATTGGTCTTGTATAGATTCTAATGCTGATTAAGTATGTTCCAATTTATCCGTTATGCTCTTATTATTGTCTTCCTGTCTGGTTCACAAGAGAGATTATTAATTATGTTAAAGCTAAAAACAATGCAATAATTATTTATAAAAATTATAAAACTGAATCTTATTATTATAATAAATATAAACAACTTAAATGTTTTTTAAAACAGCAAATTCAAGTTTCGCGGCGCATTCACCATTTTATAAAAATCTTGCTTTTTTTCCTCAGTACTACGGATATTCGAGATTGAGATTTGTGAAGTGTTACTATTACTTTATTATCTTGTTTAGTACTAGAACCTATAAAAAACTTACCATTGAAAAGCTTCCTTGGTTTATTTAAACGTAAAAAAACATTTACCTGAAAATTATTTTTATTTTTTCCAGCATTTTTCGCACATTTGACACAGCAGTTAACATTTATTTATACTTAAGATCTATTCGCCTATCCTCAATGGCTGAAAATTTGTCTATAATATCATCGTAAAATTTTGGATTTTCTGATAACTATTTAACAAGCTGTTTTTCAATGGATATTAGGGCTAAATTAGAGAGTCTGTCTTCACTTTTTAAATTTCCTATAAAAATTTTAATGCGCTTTACAGCTGAAAAGCTTCGCTTAACTGACGCATTTGTGGCTGTGATGGTTAGTACTAATTCACACAACTTAACGACTTCACAAAGAGACTTATTTAAACCAGTTGTTACAAGAAAATTTAACATATTGATGGGCGTCTTTTTATCACTAATTTCAGATGTTTCATAAACAACACTTAACTGGTACTTTAATGCTGGAATATTGAAAAAAATTAATTTTAGTAAATTAAAAGCTTCCAATGGAAATTTGGATGAATCATAGTTACTTATATTGAAATTGACCAATTCAACAAATATTAATTCGTTAAAGTTTTGAAATCGAGAGTTCACTTGTTGTAAAATATTATCAAAAATTTCGGAGTATAATCGACGATAGGAGATCTCTCTGTCGCCGACATTACCAGTTCTAATTGTCTTTCTTTCAGGTTCTGAGCCAATGTTTTGGGTCTTATTCCAAAAGTGTTTAAACTGATCTCGTTTTTTATTCATTTTATTATTAAAATATCAATTTGTTTAATGAAAAGCCAATGTCATTTGACTTTGTCTGTAAAATGTCGAATAAAATGCCAGTAAAAGGGAAAATCTCTTCAAACATTTTGAGCAAAAAATTTAAATCAAAGTTTTGTTTGAGCCAATGCAAAATACCCTTTAGCAGCAGTAATAGTTTTAGCATCCCATGTTTCTTTTTTATCCCAAACATCTTGAAAGAAGTTTAGCAAAGAATCACGGTATTAAAACACTGTTTGCACTAAACGTCCATTGTAGTTCCATCGCGTCAGAGCAACTTTTGGAAACCTTATGTGAACATGAATGTCCAAAGCGCAAGTTCTTTTGGATGACTTTGAAAAGAAAGAAGCCAAACCACTAAGCGTCAAAAAGAAAACTTTGCAATCTTAAATATGCTTCGCGATAAAACCAAATTAAGTCTATGTGCTATACAGTGAACGAAAATTGCATATTTAAACTTCTCTTTTACTTTAGCTTGAAGGCCTCCTAAATGGCCAGCCATTACAGCAGCACCATCGTCGTTCTAGGCAACAAGCTTAGAACCACATTCTAAACTTGAAAGAATGTCACAAACAATTTTAAACAATGCATCTGCAGTTCGTTCGCTAGTGACGTCCAAAAATCCTAAGAATCGCTCTTGAGGAATGCCATCCAATACAAATCGCACAACAATGAATTATTGACTTAAGTTTGCTACATCTTTGGTTTCATCAAGCGCAATTGATACGAAAGATGCTTTTTTAATTTCACTTTTAATATGATCCATCACAACGACAGCAGTGTATTTAATTAAATCATTTTGGATTCTGTTTAAAATACCCCGGAAAGTCGTCGAATCAATAAAATGATTTTGTAGGGTATCATCGTATTTTGCTAAAAAACTTAGTAGGTCCATGTAATTTTCCCGATTGGCGAATCCATTTGCTTCATTGTGACCCCTAAAACTTAGTTCATGCTTTCCCAGGAAACAAGTTACATCTATTATTCGTTGTAAGACCTCCCTATTTTGTTTACCTTTTCATTGTAAATTTTGTTGCTTATTTTTACATGATTGTCCAAACTATGTTCAATACGATAGGCCCCGAGTGTTTTTTCTTTAATTTTAGCACTTATATGAGATTCGCTATTTACATGTCGTTTTACACTTTTGTGAAAATTATTCGTGTGTAATACCGACTGAGTTCCAAAGTGTTTTTTCGGCTACATTAAAAAGTAGGCAAGGCCAGCAAAACAATTTCTTTAAAGTTTTGCAGACGGTTAACCATTCATACTTTTTATAGAACCCTACGTGAAAATGCCTGGTAAATTTATTTGCTGACTTTTCTACTTTCGTCTCTAAATTAATAGGATCCTTTAGTCTACTAGAATTAATAATGTCCGTTTTCTCTTCAAAATTTCTACTTAAAAATCTTTTTTCAATAAAGAGCACACAATACAGACACAATTTACCACATTATTATTGTTCACAGGCACAGTGCATAGTTCCTCCATTTTAAAAAATAAAAAACAACTACGAATAACAAACCGAAATCTACCTGAAATCTAAGATTTTCCTCACATGTCGATTCGCGGTGCGAATTGCAATATGCGTAAAGCGACGTAACGATCGCTGCCTCTTGACCGCATTTAACGTGTCAAACAGACTGACTACTGTCGCGGCAAAGCAGCGTCAATAACACTAAGCGAAATCACTAAGAAGATGAACCGGCTCTTTCAAGACGCGCTTCCGCCGACGGAGTCGAAGTATATGGTGTGTACGTTTACACAATTAATTTTCTCATGGGTGGTGCATGTGTTTACACATTACATCAATGAATTGTTAGTACATTTATGAAGTTTACGTAATGTTTCAAAAAAATATAGTACCTAATTTAATATTAATTTCTACGCATTGCAAACTGATAAATATTTATTTTTAAATGTCAAAATGTAGGGAAGCGTTGCTTCCCCGCTCCCATGGACCGCCCGCACCACTGTTCTATAAGTTTTAGAGCTACTTGCATTCTTTCGCAGAGTATGTTCTTGAAATTCCCTGTTTGCAGAATAGCCAGGTCATCTGCATATGCTATTGTGTAGTGACTGTCATTATTGAGGCGGCTGATGAGGGTGTCGAGGACCATATTCCACAGTAGAGGTGATAGTACCTCCCCTGTGGATATCCCTTTACAACTTATCCTCTTATATTCACATCTTCTACATTTATGTTTACTGCTCGCTTTGAGAGCATGTTATGTATCCACTTGTGAAACATTCCTATTGGTTAGTGAGTGTATTATCTTTAGGAAGGTGGTTTTATCAAAAGCACCTTTTATGTCTATGAAAACACTCAAGGCGGACTCCTTATTGTCCAGGGATCTTTCTATGCGGCAGCAACTAGATGAAGGGCTGAATCAGTAGATCTGCCTGGGGTGTATGCATGTTGGTTTGAGTCTAGTGGTGTTGTTATTTAACAGATTATTAATATCACTAAAATGATCACACTAATTTTAAAAACATTATACTGATTATCTGCAAGATTAATAACTGTACGCTCATTTGATTGATATTAATCATCATAGTAATAATATCAATACCAGTAAAGTAATTCTAGTAATCCTCACTTTGACTAAATATATCAAATACCTAATTAAAATCGATCTCTGTGGGCCAGTCACAGCTAGTGATTCATATAAGCACCTTTATTATTTTCAGTGTGCCTGCCAAACATTGACTTTAAAAGTCCTTTGGTGATGAGTCACTTTTTTGCGTATGGATTTTTTTTGGTCCATTTGTGTTCATTACGGCAATTCGTAATGCAATTTCTATTGAAAATAGCTTCATCGGTAAACAAAATATGATTAATGAAACTAATATTTCGATTGTTTTCCGTTAATAACCAGTCGAAAATTCCCATTCTTTTAGGATAATCTTCATCTAGTCATTCTTGAACGGTTGTTAAGTAATAGGTATGCAGCTACTGTTCCTTCAATCTTTTCCAAACCATCATGTGACCAACATCTAATTGGGCAGCTATTACCTTTGTACTGCTTCCAGGATTTTCTTCGACTAATTCTAAAATCTTTTCATCGTTTGTATCCATTTTTGGATGACCCCTATTACCAGCGAGTTACGACCAATGGAAAGAAATATTCGACTGTCTGGTGTTTTCCGATTGGGATATTTTTCCGCAGCTGCTGCACTGTTCCCTTGGCATTTACAAAATTACAGATAATTATCTGAAACCTTATTTTAGACTTACCAAACTTACCTAGAATTAAATACATATATGTCATTTCTGCAAACGTGTAACAGAAAGTTTAATTTTTCCTAACACTCTTAAAATGCAC